ATAATGACTTATACTGTGTTTTTACGCGTTGCGTTGCATTGCATCGTGCTGCGTAACATAAAACCCTGTCTGCATTTGTGATTAGAGAAATGACAAACAACAAGTGCTGCTCTACACTGCTCAAAACTCGCGTTTGGTATCATCAGTGGCAAATCCTTTAAATGAAAACGTACTTTCGTGAGTCAGAACTGCCGGCATTTTAGTCTAACGTTACTCTTCCAGGATCAGTAAACAGTCCTCCATAAAATGTGCTGCACACATCTGGATATTTGGGTTGAAAACAGTGTTGACAGTGTTGTAAATACAACTTAACCACTGATTTCTAGTCGTGTCCTCTTTTGGAAGGCCAGTTTCGCTTTACAGCGGCCTAGCGTGAGTTATTTTGTTATGTGTAGCTTTAGATTTACTTTTAGTCATTTTAATACTTCAACTTCAAACAATCAAATTTTGACTTTTTTTTTTTAAAGGTAAACCACTTATTTATTCAATGTTGTAACTCTACAAACTACTACAGGCCAAACAAAGTAGGTTCGCTTTCACAACGAAACACAGCGTCTCCACGGCATGGCGACGGCAGCGGCATCAATACTACAGCGAGAATAAAAGTTACGCCTTCTTTCTTTGCGTGAACATTTGGGCGGCCTTATGCAAATCTTCTCACATAGTGAGGTAGGTATGTGGGGCGTGTTAGAACGAGGCATTTTAGGAGGTCGTGGTTGACTCTTAACTTTTATAAAGAATATCTCTTTGGATTTGAGACTTTAGTCTTTGCAACTTTACAGATCTTCTTTATGCACCAAGAGCTTGTAACACTCCAAAGAGAAAGGAACAATTGAAATCTTATCATATGACCCCTTTAAATAAATAATAATAATAATAATAATAACTTAATAGCTTATTAATAGCCACACAAGTCAACAGGACAGAAAGCCCAGAACCAGTTTGACTGGGTTGTTAGTTTCAGTTTCATTTTACTGACCTGTTGTGTAGACAACAATAGATGTGTCCCTAAACATTTAGATGATGATTAAACCTTCATCATCATCATCATCATCATCATGTTGTAGGATCACTGCTTACACGAGCACTTTATATAAGGACAAAACACACAGATCTGAGGACTCAAACTGTCTGATAGTACTGTCCTGACACACACACACACATTCTCTCTTATAAACCTGTTAGTAACGGATACAGAGCAGTTGTGTGATGATGATGATGAAGAAGAAGTAGTTTAGGAGTAAATACAGCAGCGCTGCTCACAGCGTCATCACACACAGTTCTGATCGTTTCTCTAGATATGTGTCCATAAGCACAGAGCAGCGAGTATATATATATGTGTGTGTGTGTGTGTGTGTAAGTTTTGAATGAAGAAGAAGTGTCAGATGGACTCACATGCGGACCTTCACCGGTGAGCAGAGACAGCGGAAATGATGCAACTGACGGAAACACCGAGCTACGCCGGACTCAGGCGAGCGTCACTTTCCATAATAAAAGCCCCAGACGTGGTAATCTTTAGTGAATGTTTCGTCAGATTTTAGTTTTTAAATAAAACGTAAAAAAAAAAATCAGATTAAATCCCTGACAATCACTGAAATTATCAAAATTAAATATAATAATTAAATATAAATATTATAAATAATTGTTACCGTCAACGGTAAAACCTTAAGTAGTCCGTTTTACGTCTATTTACATATTGAATTGCGATTGTTTTTTTTTTTTTAATATATGAACATGAAAATAGGACAGGGTTCTCAATCTGGGATTTTATTTCTTCACTATTACAACTCATGGGGAGATGACAAAAGTCACATTTTTAAACATATAGAAGCAGAAGAAATAAGTCATCAGTATCTGTAAAATAAGCACATTTGGCAATTTGGCTTAAATGAAGGGTTGCAGAAATGAGCAAATCCTTGATTAAATTCAACAAACTTGTGTATGTCCTCCATAACTTTAATTACATTGCCCTGGCCCTTCTTGACACTGAGTTGATGACAAGTCCTCACGTATCTGTCCTGTTTAACTCTTGAGCTTCCTGATGCTGGACAGGGAATGCTGCTGAACTTGTCATGACACCATTCCCCACATCTTCAGTGCTCTTTCATCCCTATCCAAGAACCTCTTTTTTCTCTGATTAATATGATATGATTCTTTAGTAACTAGCTACTAAGTTTGCTGTAATACAATATCTTCAAGGAACCCTAATAAATTCAGGAAAAAAGAAATAAATGTCTTATAGACTGTGTTCTGTTTACTTAACCTTTTTAAGATCTCCTGTTTTTATAGTTTCACTAATGTTATTATTATGTTAATACGATCTGTATGACCCTTTAAAGCTACAAATGACATTTTTTTCAGTTTCTGACAGTAAGTTTAGAAATGCAGGCATAACAAGTCTGTTCAGTAAATAAGTTTAGCACTTTAAAAGAAATAGTCATTTTGAAAGAGATATATCCTCCTGACTACCAGGAAAAAACAGTTTTGTGAATTCAGTATTTTGTCATGTCATTACATTTTTTAGAGCATAAGAAAAATTTTGAAAAATGATATTTTATTCATATGTTATGCCATGTCCTCTGTAGAAGACATCGGGACTTTAAAAAGTCCTGTTTTTGAAGAAATAAAAAGACATGAATAAACATGAAAAGGCAAAAACAGTGGGATTTTTGTTTTAACCAGAAATAAATGTTCATTTTTTTATACCAAACTTTATATAAAGACGATTCTCGGACAAACAATTTGTCAATTAGTCAGATTTAAATGATAATTACAAAATATTATCATATTTCCATAAGGGTGTCACACTTGATCACTAAATGAATGTCAGCCATATTTAAAGAGCAAAGAGAGGGAGTGTTGACGGTGAAACTTACAATTATTTGGTATCTCTGGAAAGCCCTGAATGTGCTCTGCACAGGACTCCAGACTTAAAACTGTGACATGTAACGTCTCAGAGAAATCACTAAAACATTATGTCCTCTACAGAGGACAAAACTCCATAGGCTGGCACAAAGTGAATTTTTGAAGAATGATAAGAATAAAGGATATGAAATGATTGCTTTCCTAACATCATTCCTTGAGGCACACAAACATTGTTTTAAATTCAACTTATTGCTCTTTAAAAGACCTAAAACTTGTGTCAGATTAGTGAGATGTCCAAGACATGCATTGTTGGTGGGCCTCCAGGAACAAGTCTAGCAAACACTGACTTCTACTAAAGTGACCATTGGTATTCCTAGTCAGTAACGACCTAAAGAAAGGAAACTCGCTGATGGCTTAAGGTGCAAGTTAAGTGCAAGGTCAGATGCTGATCTCGGGATTGGACTGGTGTGATGTTGTTGTGTACACACAGGATGACATGATCATCCAGCGCATCTACGAAGACTGTATTATGTTTAAAACCATTAGAGGGCTGACCATTTCTTTTTTTATTTCTACCTGCCAAGATCCTTAAAAACGTAAAAAGAAATTCAAGTTGTTTACATTGTAAAAAGTTATTTATTTACACATTTTCATTAACACTGTATCAAAGTTATTTATATTTACATGTTTACAGAAGAAACTCTGTATCAAAGATATTTATATTTACATGTTTACAGAAACGTATCAGTTATTTATATTTACATGTTTACAGAAGAAACTCTGTATCAAAGATATTTATATTTACATGTTTACAGAAGAAACCGTATCAAAGTTATTTATATTTACATGTTTACAGAAGAAACTCTGTATCAAAGTTATTTATATTTACATGTTTACAGAAGAAACCGTATCAAAGTTATTTATATTTACATGTTTACAGAAGAAACTATGTATCAAAGATATTTATATTTACAGGTTTACAGAAACGTATCAAAGTTATTTATATTTACATGTTTACCCCGGTTTCGCCCTCTGAACTTTTTGGTACATCCGTTGAGACGGTGGTCGAAAAGTTCAGGGAGGCGAAGGCGCGCTCAGCGGCCTTCAAAACCTTCATTCCACGAAGGTCCAGGTCTGAGCCCGAACAACCCAGGGGTCCTGGCCCGTCTCGGTTTGAGGATCAGAGACGAGCACAGAAGGCTAGTGTCGCGACTCGCGCTCCTCCTCCGCCTGCGGGTAGGGGTAGGAAGTATCGTGGGTCAAAGGGAGGTAGGCAAGACCTGAGGGAGGTGATCCAGACAAGGCGTCAGCGCTTTCGTCCGGATCAGAGTAATACTTAGGTATCCACTCTTTTTCCTCAGGGGGTGTAACATCTACCCCTTTTTCTTCCCCTTCCTTATTCCCCTGTAACCACCATCTCTCCACCTGACCGAGGTTAGGTACAAGCTTCCTGCATAACAGTCTCCTACTGGACCTATGATGTTTTGACTGGTTCTATGGCTAAATCATAGTGACCACTTTACTGATGGTCCGGTCTAGAGGCTTCTCCGGACAGAGCTCCGACGCGGGAACCATGGCCTCTAGGTTTCTTGCCATGCTGCGGACGCAAGCTTCAGACGAAGAAGTGAATGATGTGTGCTCCCGGCGCTTATTTATACTATAGTCGCACCGGTAGTGACGTCATGGCTGTCGCCGGCCAACGAGTTGGTGTTTTTTCAATGTATGCTTCAGACACGGGTCACGACGAGGGCGTTCCCCATAGCGACCCCTAGAGGACGCAGTGTCTCGTTCCCTACTCAGGGTACCATGGTTACATAAGTAACCTGAGACGTTATTTATATTTACATGTTTACAAAAACACTCAGTTATTTATATTTACATGTTTACAGAAACGTATCAAAGTTATTTATATTTACATGTTTACAGAATAAACTGTATCAGTTATTTATATTTACGTTTACAGAAACGTTGTATCAAAGTTATTTATTTACAGACACATTATTAAAATAGTTTACAATCAACATATTTACATTACATTAACTACAAATAAATTCAAATGGATCCATCCCCTACAGCAAGTGTCTTGTCTAGTCTTTAATCCTTTGCCCATGCTTTTACCAAGGGGCCATTCTGGTAGTTCACAAGGAGGCACGCAACAGTGTAGAGCTGGTTGATGCTCCCTGTGATGGAAAGAGGGATGACTGTATCAAACAGCTGGTGTTGTTTCACCCTACGGATGAGACACTCAACATGGACCCTCAGTCGAGCAATGGATTGAGGTTCCTTTACCTCATCAGCCGTCATCTGTTCCCTTTTCGACAGGTAAGCAGGCCTGTAGACTTTGCATGGCACAGAGTCGTCCACAAGAAAACCTTTGCCGACCATAATAGCCATGTCAGGTTTCAGCAGAGACACAATATTATAATTCGACTCACGGTGGACTGATGAATATCAAATCTGTGAGCCAGATCCCTTTGTGTCAGACCAACTGAAAGATGGACCATGAAGAGAAAAAACTCCTCTATGGGCTGCAGGCACACCCTGTTAAAACAAAATTTTAAAAACTTTTTACACGTGTGTTTATACACAGAGAAAGTAGCATTTGTACCATTTAAATTTTGTTTTCTTCCACATCCCCCCCACACATTCATAACACAATGTATATTGTATGTACTTTATAATATACAAAATTAGAAAGGAATGATAAATGAAAACATATTTACAGATGCATGGGCTGATGCTCCACCTTCACTCCTAGTTTGCTCTGGTCACACGTACCATATGTTGTGGGATGCAAAGTTCAATGAGTCTCCAAGTGATTGTAAGTCACAAACCTACATAAGATGTGGGACATGTTTGAGATAATATACATCACAAAATGACCAGCAGTTTTAGCTTACTTTTAGACTGTATTGTAGCTTACTTGTATAGTATACGGGTTTACTGACGTGTAAATAAAACATCTACATGGACAGAAAATCAGTTTTTGGTTTATAATACAGCATCTTAATAATGATACAATATAATATAATTTACAAGTTTTAAATCTGACCTAGTGTAGGACCGTATGTCACCGTCTGATGCAGCAAATCTGCCCAAGCTAAACCTCTGACGGACAGACAGTTCTTCCACCGGTTTCCTCAGGTGTTCCTCTTCCTCTCGGAGATCTTCAGTCTGATCTAAAGAAAGCTCGACGGCCGCAGGAACGAGGAACGAGAAACGAACAATAGTCATGCTCCTGATGCTGGAGGTCCACAGTAGGCACAGGATCTTCGTAGTGACGACCGCAGACTCTTGAGTTAGGAGTGATGTTAAAATCCTTTTTTCATTTTTTACGTTTCCTTGTCCAAAGGGAAAGTATGGAAACTAACCACAGAATTACACCTTGAGGATGTGTCATAGACGTTGCACCTTCATGCCGAAGGCACTTGAACTCATTAATAAAAAGTTATATTTTAATATAGTACACTAAAATGTTATGTTACTACAGTTAATAAAATATATAATATAAAATAATTATTCGTAATCGCTAGATTTAACGGAAAGACCACGTTATTGCCACAGCTTCCTATCGGAGAACGCTTCTTTTTGTAATGAGTATGAGGAAACTGCCTTGCTCTTATTTTGGTACTGTACATACTCGGTTACACTATGGTGCAAGGTCCAAAAATGTATTAGCGAAAATATTCAGAGTTTAAGACCTTCTTCACTCCTATGGGAAAATGTACTCTTTGGCTTTACTGACTATCCTGACCAAGAGGAACAGTACTTTTACTTAATTAATTTACTTATTCTATTGACCAAATTTCACATTTGGTCAAACCCAATTTTATGGTTTTGTTGACTGAAATATTGTAATTTGTGCTTCTATCTTTTTCTTTTCTTATTTTAATGTTGTTTTCTTGATAACATATTGTGTGTTATTGTTCCTTGAATAAAAATAAAAAAAGAGCGCTTCTTCTTTTAATTTTATTGGCGGTTGGCAAACCAACTTAAAGGTGCATTTACCGCCACCTACTGGACTGGAGTGTGGGCAGTACTTTGAAAGAAAGGACAAGGAGAGAAAAATTATATATATATATATATATATATCCCCCCCCCCTCCTATATATTTCTATTAAATTCTTTCACTTATCCCAGTATTTTTCAAATAATTCATTAGGAGACTATTTCCCTAGACATTGTTTTTCCTAGCAGATTTCCCACTGTCATGTTTTGTTTTCCAGCTTGTGTTTTTAACTCCCTTCTTTCTTCTTCATACCTTTTACAATCTGTTTGTTTTCTGTTACACAGGTGTTTTCTCTGTAATGTAATCGGAGAACGCTAAACCGGAAGCTCGCGTACAACTGAGATTTTAGCGGAAATACGTAGGCGGTGCGCCGGTCATAGAGTCCATTAAATTATTGTGTTTTGGTAGTGACAAATTTGGGGAGAGGACAAATATTTCAAAACTTTCTGAAAATACAATATGAGAATTAACCGCACAATTACAAGAAATGTGTACCTTGGATATTATACAATTTGCATACTTGCTAATTTTTTGACATAAAAAAAAAAAATCCAGTAACTCATAGTAACTGTGTGGAATAACTGACCATATGGAGGCCCGTTTCCACCACTGAATAAAAAACTAAACGAGTAATTCCATCTTATTCCTCGCAATTGTGTTATCTCCCAGTTCTTATATAACAAGCAATTGTTAGTTATGCAGGCAGGAATGTAAACGTTTTTCTGACAAAAAAAGTCAAATTGCAAGATATAAACATACAATTGCAAGAAAAAGTCAGAAATGCAAGAAAAAGAAAAAAAAAGAGGTAATTTTACATCCCATATTGATGAGGAGCCACTGATTTATCAGAAAAATAATGCACACCAGAGGTGGTGATGCAAGCATGTGTACATTTTGTGATTATTTTGTAGAACAAGTCAAATAGATCACGTCACAGTCTACTTTAGACCTGTATAATGAAATTTTAAAAATATAAAGTTTCCTTCAACCATAATATCCTGGTTTAGTGTAACTTGTTTGTGCCAGAGAAGTGAGTCGCAGGGGTCTGGAACCACACGAGAGCGAGTGAACTCACATTTCTGCATGTGAAGCATGTGTGTGTGTGTTAATGGAGAGCGCATTTCCAGGCAAGCCACTGCAGAACGTAATGATAATCACCCAACACATCTCGTGTGAGGCTCGTGAGCTCAGCCGGTGCATCAGATCATCACCGTGTGTTTATACGCAACAATCGAGACAGACGGACACTCTTTGTCAAAGCATGGCTTTATTGTGGATGGTGTAAAGTCCTTCTGGAGACTCTCTGGGGTCTTTCCTCATCTATTTGGACGCCTCCTTCCTGGCGATGGTCTTCCTCCCCTTCTTGTTGTGTTTCTTGGCAAAGCGCATGTTCCTCAGGAACTTAGGGTCCACCTGAAACACAACACGCATGTTAAACTCACACCACAGCCACTGAGAACCATTACAAACACCATCATACAGACAGAACCTGACGGACCTCCACCTACTCTCTCTACTGTTCATTTTGTCAGCTATTTTCCACTCTAGTCTTAGTCCAGTGTTAAATGTCCTTGTTAGTTTATTTCAGTCAAGTATTAGTAGACTAAGGCCCAGTTTCACAGACGGGTCTTAGCTTAATCCAGGACTAGGCCTTAGTTAAATTAAGATATTTAAGCAGCTTTTATAAAAATGCCTAGCACTACATGTGTGCATCTTCAGATGGAACTGACCTATTTTAAGATGCATGTCAGAGCAAGATATTTTCAGTTGAGACCGCTCAAACGTGCATTTTAGTCTGGGACTAGCCTTAAGCCATTTATTTGATTAATAATATCTATCCTGATGCAAAAATTTTGCATTGCATCTGCAACAGGATTGTGAACTTTTCAAGGCATGTTTGGTCATTAACCTTTATAGGCATCGATATGCAAACACATGAGAGCTCTGTAAATGAAAGACTGCAGATCAACCTGCCTCCAACACGCTAGGAGATCAAGGGAATGCTTACATGGCACTGCGCTGAAAACAGAAGAGTTTCTCTAAACTAAACTCCCTCCATCATCGCGGTCACATGACGATATGAAACAATAGGTCTTCCGGGCAAAAAGCATAGTTTTTAAAATATATTTAAGCTTCTTATTCTAACATGAAAGGTCTTTAAAGTTGTGTTTTTGGTCATTATGCTTTGGCGCAGTATCTGTCAAACGAACTCAAACCGAAAGCATAATATATGGCTTAATCCCTTGCTTCATTAAGTCTGGTTTCGCTGCGTGTTTCAAAGCGAAGCACACACTTCGTTCATGCGATCAGCTCGTGATCCGGTGTTTTCCGCGTCTCAGAACGGCTCTGTTCACACTGAATGAATGCAGTCAACTCGTTTATTGTGCTGTGAACAATAGCTAAATGTGAGTTTAGCGCACGTTTGGGAACGCAACAGCCACCAGTTAGGCTTTATTTTCACGGCAGATGATTACAGCGTTTCACTAGATGGGAGAGGCTTTTTTGTAAGCCTGTTTTCACTGAAGCTGGAGTCTTCCTTCAAAATAAAAGCTCAACTGCTGTTTCTTTCAAAATAAAAGCTTAAAAGTGCCACATGAATCGCTGACAGCTAGTGGTTTAAATGCAGCCCAAATTCAAAAGATCTCTTTCAAGTGTAGAAATTAGGAAAGAAGTATTGTAATTTCCCTATTGTAGTGTAAAGCAAAAATAATATACCTATGAAATATTAATTCATTTATTTCACAGTGCAATTGTTTTACAATATATGGCTACTACTGTCATTGTTGTTATTATTATTATTATATTCTAATTTGTCTGGCTTCCTAAAACACCAGTGTGAATGTAATTTCGACTGAGACAGTATATCACAAATAAAAAGAGGGTTGAGTCCCCGTTAAAGTTCAGGTACAAGTCAATTCACTGACTTTTTTTCTGACTCAAGTTTTCCTTTTTTTACTCTCATAGATTTTGTTACCATTGCCATGCATTATACGACTGATAGACTGCAACGGTTAAAGTTAAAAATCATCATTTGTGTTCTACTGAAGAAACAAAGTCACCTACATCTTGGATGCCCTGGGGGTAAGCAGATAAACAAACTTTTAATTTTTGGGTGAACTATCCCTTTAAGAACATGGGTTGGAGCTCTTCATTTTGAACTCTCCAAGTGCAAGTTCTTTTCAAATTTTTCATTTCAATGTTTTTTTTTCCTATCGCAATAGATATCATATAGTGGACTTCTATTGTGATATTATCATATGGAGATTTTGATGTCCTTACATCCCCATTGCTTTGGAAAGAAAACATACGTTCCTATAGACTGAACATGTAACACACGCACATGGCATCGCCATCTTCACAAACTCACAGCTTCATAATTCACAGAGACCATACCGGACCAGTTTACAAAGACCCCAAAACGCCATTGTCATGCAAACGAAAAGCCAACATGCATGAGAAGTTTTCCATTTTTAGAGGACTAATTTGTGAAGTACATACTTCAGAAGTGCATAACTAACATGTGCTTAAACTCCTCACGGCGTGTTCATTCTCAATGATCGTTATATTAATACCTAATCAGCATCACAGGGATAATGTCTAGAGCATTTGCTTTGGTGTAGTTCGTGCAGCTCAGATGAAGTCAGCCTGAGATCACACAACGAGCAAGATGATGCCAAGCAGGACCCCCACACACTCAGCATCACACACAGATCTTACCCCTTTCAGAGACTCGTAGCGATGAGACCGCGGCTTCTTGATGCCGTTTCTGTGCCACTTACGAGCTACACACACACAGAGAGAGAGAGATCAGCTCAACATCCACAGCACCAGCACACAGCACAGACCCCGCAGACACTTACACTGGTTGTGTGTGGTGTGGTTCTTCGACTTGGCCATTTCTGATCGCGGTCTGCTAACGGAGGAACAGAAGAGCACGTTCAGAAAACACATCTAAACACACCAGATCGCATTCACATACTGCTACTTCAGACCGTTTCTGAGCACAGCACCAGTTTAATGTGCGTCTGAAACTAAAGCCAAACTTCTTGAGCACATCTGAGCGCCATGCTAGCAGCTAACCGCCAGCAGACGCTTCTTTACTTCACTGTTTACTACACAATCCGCGCGCGATCGGCCTCAATACCGCTCTCGCGCCGCGTGCTAACACTCACTCAACACAGCACTGAACTCATGATTCAATAACACTCTCTATCTCTGGAGGATTAATGCAGATTTCTTTCATACGGAGACAAACTCAGTACCTACCACACGAAGCGCACGACAACCGGAAGAGAGAGAGAGAGACAGCAAAGCGTTGTGGGAGATAAGAGTCCCCTTCGCCGGATGTGACGTGAGACGCATTCACAAAATGTAAACAAACACAGTTTAGAAACATTAATGTGTCATTTCACTTTTAATTCTTAATACATGTAGCTTTTTTTAAGGGTCCGGACTGGGTAATGGTATTTAAGTGAATAATTAATTAATTAATTACAGCTGAGTCTTTAGCCATTTTCAAGAATCGGCTAAAAACACATATTTTCCATCTTTACGAACGACTTACCCCGCTCTCTCTTTATATGTAGATAAATCTATATGTGCAGACATCGATAGAATGTTATTTGACTTTCTGTGGAAGCATGGGAGACATTATGTCAAAAAGTCTGTTGTTATAAATACAGTTGAAGTCAAAAGTTCAAAATCTGCAAAATGTGAATTATTTTACCAAAATAAGAGGGATCATACAAAATGCATGTTGCTGTTTATTTAGTACTGACCTGAATGAGATATTTCACATAAAAGATGTTTACAGTCCACAAGAGAAAATAATTTATAAAAATGATCCGGTTCAAAAGTTTACATCCCCTTCATTTTTAATACTGTGTTGTTACCCGAATGATCCACAGCTGTGAGTGTGTGTGTGTGAGTGAGTGTGTGTGTGTGTGAGAGTGTGTGAGTGAGTGTGTGTGTGTGAGTGAGTGAGTGTGTGTGTGTGTGAGAGTGTGTGAGTGAGTGAGT